CAAGGTTCCTACTATTTACTTCTCTGGTTGCTATAATAAAATACCTGATTAAAAAAAAAAAAAGAAGCAAAGGGCAGACCAGGGTGGGTGGCGCTGTAGAATCTCCAGGTCTCCTCCCTCTCAGGGATTCTTTCCTTTCAGTGAGGATCAGTCTCCTACAGCCCCACAGCATCCCAAAGCTCGTGCTGGCTTCACACGAGCATCCAAACTTGTGAGTCCAAGAGGCATTTCACGTTCAATCCACAACAGGCTCTCATTCTATAATTCCGGCTGGCTTCAAGCTTCAGATTCTCCTGCCTCAGCCACCTCAGTGCTGGGACTGCGGGCATGAGCCACCATACCCAGGAAAACAGAATTTCCTTCTGATTTCGTGTGCCACCAATTAGTCCTCTGGTTCTGCATATAAGGTCTCTAGTGATCTTGTGGGAAGTCATTGGCTTCTAGCCCCAAGCCCAGAGTCAGCAGCCAGCTTTAACTCAAGGACAAAGCTCTAAAAACAGTATGCAGTAATGCTTGAAAACATAGACATTCTAGAGAGTTCAGACTATGCTGAAAGTTGTGGGGTTTGAGAAACTTGTTGAGGGCCAGAGAAGAGGTTCAGCTGGCAAAGGCACTTGCTGCCAAGCCTGATGACCGGAGTTCCCAGGTGAAGACATACATGATGGAAGGAGAGAACTGACTGGAACAAATTGTCCTCTGACCTCTATGTGCCTGTGGTAGCATGCCCACTCCCCACAAAAAATAAAAGCAAAAGTAAAGATTTAAGATAAAATAAGGGGCTGGAGAAATGGTTCCACAGTTAAGAACACTTCCTTTGTTGTTGCTGTTTTGGTTTTTTTACTATCTTGGTTTTTCAAGACAGGGTTTCTCTGTAGCTTTGAAGACTGTCTGGAACTAGCTCTTGTAGACCAGGCTGGCCTTGAACTCACAGAGATCCGCCTGGCTCTGCCTCCCCAGGGCTGGGATTGAAGGCGTGTGCCACCACTGCCCGGCTAAGAGCACTTGTTCTTGCCGAGGACCCAGGTTCAGTTTCCATGGCCCACATGGTGACTCACAACCTTCCGTAAATCTAGTTCCAAGAGATGTGATGATCTCTTGTGACTTCCTCAGATTGCACGTATGTGAAACATACATCTTCACAGGCAAATACTCATAAACATCTGAGAACTGACAGCTGAAATAGTGGTGACCAGGACACATAAAAATCAGTGCCCAGCTAAAACTTGCCACAAGGCTCTGGTTCAAGCTTCATCTAGAAGATTTATACATAGGTAACTGATCGTTCTTTTTGTCCTGGCATGCTTTTCTGTGGAGGCTCATGGGACCTTGTGTTAGGATATGACATTGGACTTTGGGGCTTTCATTGAAACTTTTCACTATTTTAAACATGCTGCGTGGGCTTGTCTTACTCCAAATGAAAAAGAAACGAAGCATTGCTTCTGCATATGAACGTGGGTTACAGTCACGGCTCTTTGTCCGTATGTGGGAAAAGATACGTACGCTATCGTCCGTCAGGAAACAGGCACCGAGCTCCAGCTGTCCCCCTGTCCCCCTCTTTCCCACAGAATGACACGGTGGCCTGAGGATTTTCCCTATGCCCTGTTGTCCCGTATTTCTAACTCCCTGACTTTTCGTTCCCAAGGCCTCTGTGAGTGTGGTGGGTTTAAATGCATTATTCCTAGGAAGAGTGTGTACAGCTCCTGGTGCCGCCTCCAAAGTGTCAGGTGGGCGGCTTGGCACTGTTGGCGTCTTTCTCTGCATGAAGAGTGAATGCGTGAATGCATGCCTCTGTGTGTATATGTGTGTATGCATGTGTGTACATGTGTGTATATGTATGTGGATGCATGTGTTTATTTTTATGTCTATGTGTATGTGCATGTGTGTATTGTGTTCCTGTGTGTATGTCGGTGTATGTGTGTATTTTTATGTGTGTACATGTGCATGTTTGCATGTTTGTATGTATGTATGTACTTGTGTGTGTGTATGTACATTTTACCTATGTGTGCACGTGTGTTTGTGTGTGTGTGTGTGTGTGTGTGTGTGTGTATACATCGAACAGTGTCAGGACACCCCCTGGTGTTGTTTTTCAGGGTATCAGTCATCTTAATTTTTAATGATCTCTCCCTGGCCTGAAACCCTGAGTGGCTAGGCTGACTGGTGGGCCAGTGAACCCCAGGGATTCTCCTGCCATGCCTCCCCAGCGCTGGCATTACAAGCACTTACCAGCACACCTAGCTGGTTTTGAAACATGTGTTCTAGGAGTCTGAATCAGGACCTCACGCTTGCAGAGCACTCCCTTTACCAACACCGAGCTGTCATAGGCTGTACCTCTCTGCTGGGAGTACACAAAGACCCACCAATGACGACCCAGTGGTTCCAAGCATTGAGTACTCCTTGCTGTCCCCGCTAGAGAAAGCCTGTTTACTCTGAGTCCTGGGATGAGCTCAATGAGGTGTGTTAATGAAGGCTGTCAAGACAAAGTTGCTGGATGGAAGACAAGCTGGAAATGCAGCCCGGGTCTTGGTGCCATCACTTCGCCATCCCCTTGCTGAAGCTCAGCTCTCTCCGCTATTTGAAGAGAGCAATTTAGATTTATATTAAGGAACGCATAAATAGGCTTCTGTAATGGAATCTCATCTGGAGTGAATGCGGATCGCGTATGCTAATGAGCACGCATGGGGCCTCCCTTCCAGAAGCAGCTCCCACTACCCTACCCCCTCCTCACCCACTCCCCTCCCTTTTCACCCACTCCCCTCCCTCCTCACCCACTCCCTACCCCCCTCCTCACCCACTAGACACCTGAAAGCACCTCAGAGCTCAGGCTGTGGGGAAAGGTTAGCCCTCTTTGCCTGTCTCTCAGTAGTACACCTCTCCTTGTAGAGCCTTAAAGCTCTTGACAAGCCTTCAAGTGATTCCAGGTGACGGATTTGCCCCCAGAGACCCTTAAGAGCTGGTTTTACATAGAAGCACACATGACTTCAGTTTCAATCAGAGAATTTGATTGTCTCACATCATTTGACATCACCAGAACCTTCTTTGGTCCCCCCTGTGGTTCACACCCTCATTCTTCTACTTGGAGTTTTGGATGCTCACTGGTAAGATGTCACAAACCTTCAGCGTCAGCCATGCCGTTATGCAGCTATATGGCCAAGGGACTTTTTCTGGGTGGGACACGATTTCCTCTAAGTGAAGAGGTTGACTGAAGACCCTTGGGGCTGAGTCCCCACCTCTAGACATTCTGTAGCCTCCATGGCTTTGTGCCCGCTGGGATTCTGCAGCTTCAGGTACAGTCTGCCAGGCAGACTTGCCCTCTCTTCCTGCTCTTCCTTCCTTTCATCCCCGGAAAGGACCTGGGACTCACTTCAAGGTGCCCAGTCCCCGGTTAAGAGGCAGGCAAAACCTCCGATCACACCTTGACCTCTGTCCCAGCTGCTGCTGAAAATTCAAGTCACCAAAGGTTGCGGGGTTCTGGAGGTCGCTAGGAAAATTCCTCAGGGCTGGAAAGAAGCAAATGCAGAGTAGATCTAGAAAGAAACCAGTGCTGGAGCAGGGAGGATGGAAGTGGTCTGTTCGTGGCTAGAGGGCTGCTGCCGATCTACCTGCTGGTGCACATCAGTGGGTCACGAAGGGAGTAGTTCTACCCCTCCCTTCTCAGAGGAGGTAGGTTCAAGGCCACACTGCTATTTCTCGTTGCTGCAGCATCCTCGGCTGCTGTCATCGGTCTCCAGTGACTTTGTGCAGCTCCTTTCCCTCCCCACTCAGCCTGTGGGCTTCAGCCCCCCTCAGACTCTTTAGGAGAGGAACTTTGTATTTAGTGCTGTTGTATGGCACAGTTATATAAAGGGATTTTAAAAAGAAAAAAAAAAAGAATGCCATGGGTTTTGCAGTTTTGAAAACCACAGGCATGTAATGGGAGAGCTTGTATGCAAAGCAGCATGACCTTAGATGAGTCACGTGATTTCCTGAAACCTGATCTCCTTCTGGGGCTCCCAGTCTGTCTTATTTAGGGATGAATTAGAGGCAACCCCTCATCCTTTCATTCCTTCAGCACACACAGAAGCATGTCGGGGGCTGCTGGTTGCAAGAGGTCTTCGGACAGTTTACCCATGCAAGCACACACGGAGCTCCACTGGGAGAGAGGTTACACATGCAGAGTGGTTATTTCATTTCAAGCTGCTGGACAAAGTAGAGACAGAAATGCACCACTTGTAAAGCTGCAAGTATCACCGTCACGGTTGTGGGGTGGTCGCAGCTGCTGTTAACTAGACATTTAATAATTGTGTGTCTCGACTCTTGAGTGTGAAAGCAACTACAGCCCCTCCTCCACGCACCTCCTTCAGGTGTAGCTTACTTAACCCTCTGAGCCTCGATGTTCCTGTCTGTTCAATGGGCATTAAAAATGGAGCCTGTTTCCCTAGAGTGTTGGGAAGGTTAAGCCAATTCACATTTATTCATAGAATAGAGTCTGCCATATGGGAAGCACTCTACAATACGCGATGTTGTTGCTGACCCTTTGCCTGCATTATAATAGAGGTCACGGCTGTAAGGCAAGTTTTAAGATGGGGGTGTTTCTTAGTGATCAGCGTGGCAGTCACTTGTGTCTATACTTTATATATTTTCTTTTTCTGAGACCGAGTCTCATTATCCCAGCTGGTCTCAAACTCAACTAGGCAGCCGGAGGTTCCCTTGGGCTTCTGGTTCTCCTGGCTTCGTCTCCCACTTGCTAGGATTGCAGGCGTACCCCATACACCTGGCTTGTGGAGTGCTGAGGCTCAAAGTCCCAGGCACTCGAGTGGAAGGGTGAGGGCAGCTACAGGGGAAGACAAGAGAGCCCCCTCCCACCCCACTCCTCTCACGTGGACGATTCCGTTCTCACCCCCTTTCCTGAGTGGGATTGGCACCCCTCACGCAGAACAAAGGGACTTGCTTTGCAGACAGCGCCCTTCTGTCTTCGTGTGTCATCTGCCTCGAAGGGTGTAATTTGTTTCTGCACTGCGCAGGAGACTCCCCGGAGAAGGCTCTGTGGCGTGCGGTGCTCCTCTATCGATCGGTGACACCACTGTGCTATAGTGGGTGGATGAGGTCATTCTTATCCGGTTACTCTCGTCGCTGACCTTGAGGCCTCCCAGGTACAAAAGCATAAAGCTGGATCCCTGGTTACAGAATGCCCTTGTTTAGAGGTAAACCCGTGCGAGGGTGACTGGTAGTTTTGAAGAAATGACTGCAATTGCGTCACATGCCCCCCACCGCAGGTGGGAGGTGGTTAATAAGCTCAGGGAACCCCTAGGTCTTGGTGACACTATTTGGGGCTGATTTTTCAGGAGTCCCTTGATCTGTGTTCCTGTCTTATCTTTTCTCATTAGATTCCAATTTTCCTCTAAATTGCCATGACTGTAATATTGTCAATATGAAGTGCAGAGTGAAAGACTTGGGTCTTGGAACTAGTGACCGCTTTCCAGTATGTCTACCTGCTTCCTTTGTCTTCCCTCCCTCCCTTCCCTTTTTCCTACTTTTTCTTTTGCTTCTCTCCCTCCTTCCCTCCCTCCCTCCCTCTCTACGCCTCCCCCTTCACTTTCTGCCTCCCTCTTTCCCTCTCTCCTTCCCTCCTTCTTTCCCATCCTTCCTTTTCCTGGACAGAGCTAAAGAGGTAGAGAGGTAACCAAGGAGATAAAAATGTGCCTATGAAACCCCTTGTTCAGAAGGAGCCTTGGGAGGCACAGTGAACTGTTCCTTTCATCTGCATCAACCCAGCAGTTCTAAGAAGACTCTCTGGTAGCACTTTTGCTGTCCTGGCTGGACCTCATTCATGCTGGAAGAGGCAGAAAGCTTCAGGGGACGGACTTCTACTGGGTTGCAGGTAAAGGGTGGCATAGTATATAAGAGGCTAGATTAAAATCACAAGTATGATTTTTGACTGTGTTGTAGTTGCACTCTGGTTATGAAATCATTCTAATATACAATTCCTTGCGTACTGGAGTCCTTCTCTTTAAGGCAAGCTGAGTTGACTTTCACCCCGATGGCATCACATTGGCAGAATTCAACACTTGTATCCTCTGGCAGTTGGCAAGCACGATGCATTGCTGGGTTGAATAGCAAGAGAACACTCAAGACAACTTTAGTATTTGGGGTGCTACTGAACTTGTCAGGCATCTGAACCCAATGGTGCACCCTTACAATGACCTGAATAGATTTAATCTTTGTTTTGTGGTTAAAGGGGATTGAACCCAGCACTTTCAACATGCTGAGCAAGTGTCCTACCAATGAGCCGAACCTCCAGCCCTAAGCGCTGACTTTTATAAAAGGATAGTAACAACGTGATACTGAAACCAAAAGAAACATGTTTTCCCTGTATTGTCTAATTGGCTCCCAGCTCAAGAAAATCTTCACACTAAAGCTAAAAAGGCCCAACCAGCCATGATGGCACATTCCTGAGATCTTAGCACTCAGCAGCCAGGGCAGGCGGACCAGAGTCTGGTTTACATAGCCAATTCTAGGCAAATTAAGACTGCTTAGAGAGACCCTGTCTAAAAAAAAAATGCTTGAGTAAATAAACGGAAAGTCGCCTGGTGTTGTGGCTCAGGCTGTTAGCTCAGCATTCAGGAGACTGAAGCTAAAAGCCTTGGTGCAAGGTGAGTCAGCCTGGGCTAGGTAGTAAGTCCCAGGCAAGCCTGGGCTACAGAATGAAACATGATATCATAAGTGAACAGCAACAGACGTAAACCATGCTTCTGCAAGCACCAGTGATATTCACAGGGTCACCAAAATCAATCAATCATTAGATAAGGAAATCAAAATGTTAAAATAGACTTGAAAGTAGGAGAGAAGCTTAAAAAGAGGAGGGGACTGATGGGGAAGGGGGCAAGGGAGGATGAAGAAGGGGATGGAAACGATCAGAATATATTATCTACATGTCTGAAAATGTCATATTGAAGCCCATTACTTATTTATAATTAGTATGTGCTTGCCAGGACCATGGTGGTCAGGGGAATCTTGCAGCCTGACTGCCTGGCAGCCAGGGTGCTTCTTTATTTATACAGAATTGAGTAAGTAGGGATCCATGCATGTTGTTCTAAAACATAAATCATATCATTTTTGTTTTTAGACATGTGTTTCCCTTCCTTCTGCTCATCTTTTAGTAATCATTAATAAACTATGACAGAACAGAGTTATCATTTTTAATCATTTTCCCTCAAGTTTCATCATCATTGATAAATAGAGTTATCCTTTTTACTCATTAACTCCATAACCCATTTTTTTAAGAACCTAGGGGCATATGATAAGCTGTTCTCAGGCTGGCTGCTTTTGTGGCTACAAGGACATTTGACCAAAACAATCTTCAAGCCATCCCAGGCACGCTGCCATGTCCCAAGCAGTGTATTATTAACTCTTGATGGTCAGAGTGCCCAGGAAATAGCCTCAGGCCCGAGCTGCTGCAGTTAGTATTCAAATTCTGGTATAGTACAATGTTTATACTTTATGTCTTTGTAAAATGCTTTTATCATCTTTCCACATCATTCTTTGCCCATCACTATCCGTCTCTGTGTAGGACAGAGGTAGCTTCAGCTAGTCTAACTTTGTTGTTGTCTACGCCACACAATTGCCTGGGTGTACAGTGGGAAGAGGCTTGCGATCTCATCTGTGGCCAGCTCCTCTGGCCCACCGAATCTTGTTGCCCTTTTTCAGTTTACTTTGTTTTGATTATCTCGTTCCTGAGTAAGTACAGGGACAGATGTTTCAAAAAATGTCTCATAGCCTCATAAAGAAACCTCGGGCTTCTTTCTGTGTGTCACAACCTCCAAGGCATAAGGAAGACCTTCAAGTAGAGAAGGCTATCTTCCTAAAGCAGGGGCAAGAGCATGTTCAGGACTGTCTTGGGGAAGCTGGAAAATAGCATCCCCGGGAAAAGGCATACATGATTCATAAGTAGTTTTCCATCAATCCGATATCCCTAAATTGTATAAATATTAAAAGTCTTCCAAGTATGCAACAAGTGGAGATGAAACCCAAAGATGGCACAGCAGCCAACATGTGGCTCAGCTTTGCTGTATTTTTGTCAAACCACTGTGCTGGCTTTATGACTTCTGCCACCCCCATCAGATATGGCTGTGCCGTGTGCTAATTAAAACGTTTGTCCAAAGAAATTAACTGATTCATGTCAGAAAAGGTAAGACAAGGTAAGAATGTAAGGCAGAATAAGTACCCGGGGGCATAGGAATGGCACAGGGAATATTGTCACGAGTGGGGCTCTAGCTAAGGTGTCTACTGAGGGCTTGTTGACTGTGGGGAGTGCAAGCGCTGAAATCTATTCACACAACAAAGATAACGTGTGGGTGGCGGGGAGGGGGTCTAAATGCACTCCCAAGCTCTACAGAGGCCAGGGCTCTGGTGGCTTCTGCTAATTAATCAACATTAGCCAAATGTCTGTCATTTAATAACCTGATAACGCCACCCTCTCCCTTGCTAAAAGAAGTTATTTGTAAGAGAGGTTAAAGAAAGAAATCAGGAGTGTCATTTATGTTAAAAAAATATATATATAACAAGAGCATGTGTACACATGTATGAATAAGAACATATGTTCTTGGTAGTGCTGTATGCCCACAATTTCAGAATTAAGGAGGTGGGGGCAGGAGGATCAAGAGTTCAAGGTCAGTCTCTGTTACCACAGTGAGTTGGAGACGAGTCTTTTCCCCTCTCCTCAAAACACGTGTCATCAATCAATACATCTTAATTCCCCCAGCCTAACGTTCATAATACCCAACTTCCAAAACTTTTTGAGCACTGATATGATGCCAGAAATAGCGAATCACACACTTGACCTCCAGTGACAGTGTAATAATCAAGATTTCTGTCAAAAAAAAAAAGCTCCCAAAATACCGTTTCCAGCTTGAGTTTTAAATGGCAGTATTGGAAATGGAGTGTTGGTGGCAAAGAAGCCTATGAAGATGGACTCTATCTTGGTGTGTGTGTGTGTGTGTGTGTGTGTGTGTCTGCGGGAGAGAGAGACAGACAGATGCAGAGACAGAGACAGTTCCCTAAAAAGAGATCTCCACTGCCACCACATTTATTTGCAACCATCTTTTCCAAATTTCATAATTTGGAAGTTGCTTTGTGAGATGCTAGCCACTTGTCTTACCAGAAGTCATCTTTGGATGCACACACCTCTTTATTTACGGTGCTATCGAAATGCTTTCCTTCCTGCAGATTGTCCGGCCATAATTTAAGGGAAGACTCACAAAATTTGACAGGAGCTATCAAAGTCCTTCTAGGAACATGCATACCCTATAGTTTAGGGAATCTGTAAAAACCGACTTCAGTCTCTCCATGATTTAAATTTATTTGCCTGTATGCATGACTTTATTAGATGAGAAATACATAAGTAGTGTCTATTTACCCTGAGGTGAGAATTGAAAGGAATGAATGAACTAAAATTCATCCATCATACCAGGTGGCCAGTGTTCCCAATCCGCCACTGCTCTCCTGTATCCTTCATGTTTGGGTTATCAGCTTTGCGCTTCGGTCAGATGAAAGTGTGCTCATCCGCCTCGCTCTGATGACGGGAGTAAAATGCTGATGGGGATCGTTTGGACCGCCTCTCTGCTGTTGATTGCATGCTTGTGGCTCATAATCAGAGTGATGCACAGTAATTGTTAGACTCCCTTGCCAGGGCTCCATTTTGTGCCGATGCAACTGTCAGCACTTTCGGCCTCCGTTGTTCTGCCTGGAGAACGCTTGCTTAGCACCCACTGGGCTGCTAAGGCAAGGAAGGCTCTTTACTGAGTACCCTGGGTAAGTTCCCCTGCCGCTGTTGTTTGCTTACCCTCAAAATAATTACCTGAGGAAGGACTGTCTGCCGACTTAGTGACAGCTGGCTTTTACTTTTTGTGTCTGTCAGAATGCTAGTGTGTGGAGACTTGGCTATTAAAACACACACACACACACACACACACACACACAAAATGCAGGGAGCTAGGAGCTGAGCTTTCCCCTTTGGTTAGGAAACTGACAAACTTAGCTTTGTCACATGTTTTTGAGCCTTACTTTGCTTGTCTGTGTAATGGGCTAATAGAATTTACTAGTTAGAGGACTTGGTTTGGGCTAGAAAGGAGAGTTAAACTTTGTCAGCAGAAACCAGCTGCTGGTTAAATGGTAATAGCCAACAGTAAGGCACCTAATGCTTTTTCAGAGGATATAAGATAATATGTCAAATTTCTGCCACTATATCATACATTCATTATAAAGAGAGAAGGTTTAGGCTGGCTTGTTGTTTTGCGGGTATCAACTTAGGATCAATCACCCCTTTTGGGGATGTCCTTTGGCAACTCAAAACATCATGGTGCGAGAACATGGCTGAGCTGATCTACTCACATTGTAGCCAAGGAGGGAAGGGAAAAGGAAGGGAAGGGTTCTGGAGCCCTCTTCTAGGGTATGTGCTAGTGATTTATTTTCTAGGTCTTGGCTCTTAAGACTTTATAACTTCCCAGTAGCATCACTCTGGAAACTGACCCCTCAACATGAGGGTCTTTAGAGGACATTTAAGGTCAGGAGTATAGCACATGCAAGATGGTGCTTCCAAAGGTCAGCAGCCTCGATGCTCGCTCCAGCTGTGGAGCACAACACACCAGCAGTTTCCTGATGGTCAGAGACATGTAACCGGGTGAGCATCTTAGGCTCGACATCAGCTTTACTTGGCTGAGTCTGCAGAGATAGGGTGTTTCATGATCCATCCTGTGTACCTTTCAAAGCATTTGAAAGGCACTTTGGAGGCGACCCTAAGTCTCTGTAACACACAACTTTGAATGCACAAAAGGGTCACACTATCCAATACACAGTGGGTCCTGACCATCTGCTACTCTGTCCCTGAGAAAGCAATTGAGCAATGCAAAATTCCATCCCTATTAGAAGTTCACTTGAGACATCTTCCCAGCCCTTGGATTGCACCCATTGAAGACATGTGGCAAGCAATTCAGTTATTTTCCATGACACAGCAAGTCCTAGTGAGTGTTGTCAGAAAAAGGCTCTTGGGGGGTTCCATATCTGAGCTCTTGTCTTTTTAATTCTTTTTCCACATGGTCAAAGTAGCAGAGTAGAGGTCTCTCAGAGAGAAGGATCTGTCTCCATGAATTGTTGCTCAGATTGCACAAATTGAAACCAACCATCGAGGGAAGATCTTATATTACTCACTTTTCTCTTTGCCGAGGTCAAATATCTGACAAGAAGCAACTTAAAGGAGAAGGGCTTATATTGGCACACAGTTTGAGAGTATAGCCATTGCAGTAGGGAAGGCAAGACGCATACTGGGAGAAGGGGTTTTGTTTGTGGCTGCAGGAGTGTGAGGCTGCTTGTTCATATCTGGGTGGATAAGAAAACAGAGTCGGGAGATTGGGGGCTTGGTTGGCTTTCTCATTTTTAGCCCTGTCATTCAATACAGGACCCAGTTCATAGGATGGTGCCACCCACATGCAGGGTATGTCTTCTCCCCCAAGTTGACCCTTCCTGGAAAGTTGTTCACAGGAACACCATGACATTTCTTAGACCTGTCCTGTAGACAGTATGAATGATCCATCATCCATCTCATCATCACACAAAGGGGACTCAGTCCATTGGCTCCCCCTTGTCATCTCCTGTGGACTCTTGTTTAAATAAAACTTTACTTCTCACTCATGCGCTTCTTCAGATTATTTCAGTGTCTCAGTGTATGCATCCTTCTCCCTGCTAGGACCTCATCCCCATGTCTTGCCTGATAGTAGTTCCAGTGTCAGAATACTTTAAAAAGACTAACTGCATTTGTGACTGGAGGAGGAAATGTCTCCACACCCTTGGATATCTGTAAGCTTATACTCACTCCCCCAGCCTCTCTCAAAAGTGTCTTTTGTCTGAAACGCAGCTGATCATGGTTAGAGTTATGGCATAGCCTTGATAACAGGAGGTGATCATGTAGCCGGCGACACATGTAACCACCTCATATATATTTTATCCAATCAACTATTCCCTTTGAGAAAGAAATTATGCCAAAGACACTGGCATTGTACAAATAGCCCCACGTTTGATACCTTCTTGTGGCTTCTTCCAATGTGGTTTTCGTGGGTTTTGTACTCCAAATAATGTGGATTAATTTCTAGAGTCACTCAGAACTCTGCGGTATTCAATTCACTTCTCTCTGTATCATAAATCCACTCCACCATGACTGGGCAAGAAACAGGGACATTTGTTTAGTGTTAGACTTATGATTTCCTACTTTAGTAAGCATGCCCACTGCCTGTCATCTCTAGTCCCCTATCAGCATCTTCTAGCTGCTCACTGGAAATTGTGAGCTATGATTTCATTTCCCATGGTATATGTGCCAGTTTGTATTCTTCTGAGCTCACCCACTCAAACCCAAACAAATTTTTGCTGTTAAAACTTACTATATTTAAGCAATCTGCCGTTCCCGATCTTGAAAACAGAGGAGAGAAAGAAGATGTGTGCTGCCATGGTGTGCAGTCATTTCTCATAAATTTGGACACATGGGTGGATTCTGTATGTTCAATAATTAAATATTTATTGCTTCATTCTTCCAAAGCAATACTCTTACCGTCTTTCCAAACTTTTTGATATGGGGTTAAGTAGTTCACTTGGTGGAGTGCTAGCCTAGCATCCCTGAGCCTCTGGGGTTGATCCCGCACTGAATAAGCTGAGTGTGGTGGCCCATTATCCTAGCACTGCTCTGGAGGTAGAGGCAGAAGGAACTCTAATTCTAGGTCATCCTTGTCTACATCCCAAGTTCGAAGCTAGCCTGGGCTACCTGATACCCTGTTTCACAAAATAGATGTAGATAAATTTATTTTCAACCAAAGAGGGTCTCAGTATATCAACTGTAAACCATCAGTTGGCAAAACGATATGAATACCTTAAAAACATGTTAAACTAAATTATATACGTACACATGGGTTTGTTTCTTTTTCAAATGCATGTGTGTATTCGTGGGCATAGGGAATTAGGTAGCATGTAAGCGAAAATATTATTCATGGTTCTTAGTGGGAGTTTTTCTGATTTCTGTTAGTTGCCTCATCCCATCTACATCATGTCATTTTTTTCTAGTCAACAGCTCTATTTTGTTCTTGTTTGTCTCATCAGATTGGAAGTAGGTGGGGAGGTCAACGCAGTGCAGCTCCTCACATCCAGACAAATTCTAAAAGTCCCTCTCCAGCGCTCCTCCTGTTGTAGATACGTGAATGTGTTGCGCTAAAGGGTAATCAAGGCCGCTCTTCTCATTGCCTCCCCTGCATGCCTAATGCTGCAGCAGGACTCAGAGAGGCATGCAGCAGCTGGTAGCATCATCGGCATTAGGCAAATGAGGAAAACTCAGAGGGCTCCCGTGGCTGGAATCATTCAGCTAGGGGTGGTAGAGCTGAGAAGCACACTTGGGCTGACTCTGAACTTTATTTTGGAGATCCTTATCTTTTTTTTCCTGTAGACCTCTTTGTCTGGCTTGAGGATAAAAGGGTTCCTTGTGTGTGAGTGCGACTTTTAAAGATCTCGTCAGAGGCATTGCTCGTGTGTACCGGAGCCGACTGTTTGTACTATCTCTGGCCATCTTTTCAATCAGGCCTTGATCTTTTCTGCAGCCAGAGTCCCATCTCAGATGGCCTAGCCTGGGACCATCTGACAGCACCATGCCGTGGGTGTCACCTGAACATGACCCGACTTCTCTCAGGCATGCTGAGGCAGGCCTTTCCAAGTCTGAGACCCCTTTAGGCTTCAGTAAAAATTCTCCACATGGCCTCATGGCTTCTCGGCCTTTCTCACTATCTGATGACTCTTGAGAAAAGAACAGGAAGAGGTTAGGATGAACTCCAGATACTTGGGGATGGTATGGAACCTGAGCTGTGACTCACATCCCCTCTAGACCCACAGAGGTTGCTTCAGCATCTCTGGAGACTTTGCCAAACAACCTTGAGCTGGAATGGAGCTGGAACTCTTCTGCCCCCACTCCCTGTCTGTCTCCATCATTCAGCCTTCCTCTGGCCAGACACTCGCAGTGTCTTGGTCTTTTCCCACAGCTGGTTGGACCAGTCAGCCCTTGCGACAATTTGGTCTCTGCCTGACATTACTCAGGGGGCTTGAGGGGCCTCCATCATGTCTTGCCAAGTCTGCGTTCCCATGCAAACCTAGTTACAGAGGGCTGTGGGTCAAGGCTTAAGGGTATGGCATTTGGGAGAAAAAGACAAAAATGCAGTGAATGAGGAAGGTGGGGCGTTTTAAAAGACCCACCTCAAAATATTTCCTACACACCGCAGTGTATGCACCTTATCCTAATGGTCATATAACTCATACTAAATAAACCACATATACCATGACTTTCTGTTTGTGATTGTTTTAAAACATCATTAGCTTCATATTACCATGTGTATCTACTGACCACGAGTCTCCTTGCCCTCCCCGCTCACTGACCTGTGCTAATTCAGCAACTTGGCCCCCAGTTGTTTTTAAATTTTTTTTTCTTTTCTCTCTTTCAGTTTTCCAAAGAAATTAGACCAAAACTTTCTTCTTGAGAAGAAACCAACCTGCTGTTGGCAGAGGGTGAGTGAACCTTTAGATGTACTATCTATTTTTGATCATGTCAAAATGGTGTTTGATACCGTGAGGTTCCAAGATCAAGTGTTTGATAACGGGCTGGGGAAGTCTTCTCAAGCTTGGAGTCAAGATGCTCGCTCTTTCTTTCTTCCTTCCTTCTTTCCTTCCTTCCTTCCTTCCTTCCTTCCTTCCTTCCTTCCTTCCTTCCTT